CATTTTACCAACCTCAGAAGGATGGAAGGCTGAGGGAGCCTCGAGCTGGCTACCTGGGATTGGACCCTGGGTCGTGAGCACAGTTTTGGCTGCAGTACAGCAGTTTAACCACTGTGCCACGAGGCTCTTCAAAGAAGAGAAGCCAAGAAACCACATCAGTAAAATACCAAGCAACTTTCATAAGTATTTAAGAGTTTTGCTGGATCAGGTAAAGACCTGTTGGCCCATCATTTAGCTTCTTTTATCTACCAATGTGATGCCTACAGGAAGGATAGGAACATGCTTGAGGATAATTTTATCTGTAGTAATGTTTTCTACCAATTCATCCAAAAGGTGTAACTGGTTAATATTCCTCGATCTCTCTAGATCCCTTTTAAAATATTAGTATTACTTTGGCTGCTTTCCACATCTAATGCAGAGATCAATTTTAAGGACATACCATATCTTTCGCTCCATAAGATGCACTTCCCCCCCAAAATAGTGGGGGAGAAAGTATGTGCGTCTTATGGCGTAAATACAGTAAAAAAAGGGTTCAGCCACCACCACCCAGAAGCCTCCCACTGCCATGCTGGGAGGCCTCTGAACTGGCACCAGAGACTGCTTGTTGTTTGGACCTCACCATTCTGTACTGCTAGCTTTCTAGGATCTGCTTCCTGCAGCCTACCTGGAAAACCAGCAAGGCCAATAGCACTAGCAATGAGAATAGGCAAGGACCAAAGGGGAAAAAAAGAGTGATTCTAGAAAAACCAGGAGAAACCACAAACACAGTTCCCCACTTAGGCAGTTGATTTTCCCACATTTGGGGAAATCATAGGGGTCAGCACATCCAAAGTGCAATAGATGAGCCTTACCCTGGGAAAACCACTTTTACAATAATGGTATCTCCCCTGCCAGGTATAAGTTGTAATGGCCCCTGAAAATTCTTCCCCTTTCTGTGCCCTATCCCCCAAAGGCATGGTGACCCCCCGGCTGCACCTCCTGATCAGAACAGGGCTGAACAGCCCCAGTCCTGAAAGAGGCCAAGAGAGCTCCTCAGTGTTTTGGGGTGCCCCACAGGACCCCCATCAGGGGCTGGAATGTTCCTCCCACAATCCTCCAGTACACAGATATTAGCGTACCTAATATGCGGGGAAGGCAGGGAAAGTGGGGAAATTCAAACTTTCAGTTAGTGAAGAGGCTGCTTGTCTGCTTCCTTGCTAGTCCAAGCAGTTAGAGAGCTGGGA